TTATCATTTTAAATTATCTGAATTAACCAATCAATCGACCAACTCTTTCAATGAAATTTGACCAATCGCTTTTGTTGTTAAATTTGTCGATAAATGCGATTGTTCAATTCCATTAGAATAATAAAATTATTAAGTTAATAGATGATGATGGAAATTATTTTAAAATAAATTAATTTAAATATTTCATTAAAAATTTATTCCTTATTCATTATTTTTTAATTGAATGTTTATGGTATTAATCATTTCAATTTAATCAAAAAATGAAAAATTTCAAAATTAAAAAGATAGATATAAAATAGTGGGGAAAATTTAAAAAAAATTGAAAAAAACCTTTTTTTAACTTTCTTCCTTTATAAAGTATTTTTGGAACGATTTAACTTTTATATAAAATCTTTATTATAAAACCTTTTTTTATATCTGTTATAATTTTGACAATATTCGCTTTGAAAGAAAAAAATGATTTTTTTTTAAAGAAAAAAACTGCATATAAAGGCAGTTAGCACTTACAAAAAAAAACTTGTCTTCTTTTGTGTATATTTTAACATCTTGAAAGCTCATTAAAGTTAGGTGGGCGAGAATAAATTTCCGTGTATTCCCTTATGTGTACGTAATTTTATATTGCTAAAGTTGTGAAATGTTTTCAATGCCGAAAAAAACGAAATAAATAAATATCTAATATGTACATGCATTCACGCATATACGCACGCACGCATGCACGCACGATATGGGTCGCAATACTTATAAGCTAGGCAAACTGTATCCTATTATTTACAACTATTTATACTTTACTAACTAGACTGACAGTACGCGACTATTTACAAGTATATACACGAGCGCAGATGATGCCTCTAAGCGCGAAGAGCGCACAGACCGAATGCCGAGAGCATTCTCGCATAGAAGAAGGAACATTCTTCTCCTCGATGAAGTAGGAAACGAAGGATCGAATGTCAAGAATAGCTTAGGAAATGTAACACTCTTCTCTTCAATCGACAGGAAAGCAGGAAATTTCGCTACCCTTCCGATAGCTTTCGAAAGGTTTTAGTCGAGACAGGAACGGGATTGATGTCGATTTATTCACTGAACCAGCTTATATACCCGTGTTGGCTTTCCCTTCTTATATCGAATTTCCCTGTGGGAAGAGTCTCCCCAGATGAGTAATCACGTTCTTGGAACTCCGAAGGAACGGGTGATCGATCCCGAAATTAGTAATGCGGTCGTTACATGAGTCTTTTACAATTTTATCATGCGTCACTTGCGCCTAAATTTGATAAATTGTATCGAGCTTAGGCTTGTATATTGTTCGAAATTTTGCATTTGATTTACAGATTTGCGTTTATTGTTCTTATATAAATACTTATTGACATTGAGCATTTTTGCGCGCACGAACAGTTTGCGCACAAATACTCCTGCGTGGAAACTCTTTTCGATTCCAGTCTTTTGCCAGAGTGAGTACCGAAACGTCGTCAAGTAATATCGCCATAGCAGCTGCAGCATACATTGTATTGCATATTTTGCGCTAACAGAGTGTAAAAAAACGATATAAGAGTATAACAGTGAATTACACGGCTATATAAGAGTAGGAAAATAAGTGGTGCTTAGAATCTGTTAGCTGATTTAAAATTTCAAGAACGAACAATTTTATAACTTATTCGGATATCATCGGAAGATTTTGAATTTTTATTGAATGCTATCGCTTCATAAATAAAAACATGGATATTGCAATAAAAAAATATTCTATTAAATTCTATTAAATATAAAAGTATTCTATATCAATCTTTTGTTCCACTTATGTCCATTTTCATATTATTTGGAATTATTTCCCATTTAAATATCTAATCTTTTATTGCAATTGAAATGAAATAATGTTTAGCATTCTATAATATGAGTAACTTTTCATATTTTATTAATTGAAGAGTTATTTCATTTGACAATTCCATAATTTTTTCACGCACAATTTTTCTGTTCCATGGACACGTCTAGACTGAGCATTGCTTCGCATGAAAATCGTTTCATGTATCGACAAGCGATGGATGGCGTTTGCGCGTGTTCACAGTGTACGTCAAAACAAAATCGACACGTCTAGATGCGAGCATTCGTGTACGCAAACTGTTTGTGCGCACAAAAATGCTCACATTAGTACGCACCTTTAGAGTTTTACTTCGTTTTCGCAGAGAGTCGTTGAAGTTTCTCGGTATTACAATTATGGTTATCGTTCACGGCTTTTCTCCGAATTTAGTCACAGATATACGCGTCGTTCAAGTTTTCGAGGCGCGCGGCGGGAGATGATGCGCGGGGAACGGCTCGCAGCTTTTTAACGTGGTATCGATCTGTTTGTTATTTGTTTTGTCTAAGTTATTTTTTTCAGATGAATCTTTAATTGGAAAAGGATTTAGATTTAGAATGTTGTGGTTCGGTGGTAGGTAACACTACACTCTGCATCTCAGTGATAGAGATTGTACATAAGTGCCAGCTTTTGAAGCCGAATTAGGTAGTACCCTAGTTCGAAAGTAATTCTTGCATATGGCGAAGCTGCTGGAAGCGAATTGCCGGTAGCACCTGGAAATAACACTCTATTTTTGCCGGTACAAAAAACGATAGAAGAATCGAAAGCAATGATGGATCGATATATTGTCTCGGTAAATAGGTGCAAATCAGAATCAGTTAATATATCCGAGTTTGATTGTGAATCAGTCAGGTCGGCCGAGCTCGGGTTTCGAGTCTGATTCCGTAGATGATTTCATCAATTTGCCATAGAATTAGCCGAATTTTCACGACACTTTGGCGAGTTTGATGGCACGGTCAATGCAGGGCGTGGATGCCGGCGTGGATGGGATGTTTCATGTGCGGGTTTACCGATCCGCCTTGATTACGTATTCATTTCGCTTCTCGATTACACCTGTTATACTTCGCGATCGATTTTCATTGCAAAATTTTTGACATTATGATCGCATAGAATTATTGTATCGGCGTCCCGACAGGTGATGGATCTGGAAAAAATTAATTGCGTTCGGGGGGATCACATATTTAATAGAATATCATTGAAACTCTTATTTTAAATAGAAAAAGCATTAAAAAACAATATTATTTATTGCTATTGTTTATTTATATCTTTAGAATAAATGAAGTTATAATCTTTAAAAAATTATTCGAGATTATAATCCCGACAGGTATATCAATATCAAGAATAATAGATTTTTGAAAGTAAATATTTATTTCAATGTCTTAAAATGTATGTTTCATCAAGATTTTAATGTAATTTTTGACTGATATCATTTTTCATAATTACATTTAAATTGCAGGAATATTCCAAAGAAGCAAACTGAAAATTTCGCCATAACATTGCGTGATGATGGATTGTACAATATCTTATCACGTATCGCCTTACTGGACGAAGATTTACCAGAAACAACGATTATTAAATGCTTACTCGGCATATCAAAAGCATCGTACAAGGTTTCTCGCAAAACTGTCTATTATACTGGTTAGTGTTATTTGTTTTAATAGGGATATAAATATATCAGATTTTACATATGTATTTTGGTAATTTATTAGTGGGGATTGGAGAGGAAGATTGAAGTGAATTGAAGATTGCTCTCTGATTGTATACTAACTTTTTGTTTTATATTAATTTGTATATTATTTACAATAACATTTTTGAATTTCTGAGAAAGTAGTCGTTATGTCACTTCTCGCAAATGTATTCTCTTTTCGATTTGATTTATGGCCCATCGCAAACGGTGAGTATTTGTAAAAATTAATCAGATAGAGTATGTTTCTATGTACGTAATTGCTTTTTTGTCGGACCGAATGCTCCCTCCTTTTGTATGAGCGGAGAGAGCTCGGTTTGTGAGACTTTAATAGTCAAACGCAGATCTCTCTTCCGGACTTGGATTGGACGAATACCGTCGATTAGCATTAACGTTCATGGTACTGCGTAAGAATATGCGGTGATCATGCAGACGTAGGACCGAGTGTCAGAATTGACTTTCCGAGCGTAGGCGATTTAACACCCCGTGATTTGGCTCCAATGTGACTTGTGCCGCAAAACAACTTTGCTTTACAGGTAAATGATAGGACGAGGAAAAAGAGAAATCGTTTGATGACAAAGGACGAGAAGGATGAGGAGAAATATTTGAAAGAATGAGGAGGAATAGCTGTTGCTAGAATAATTGAAATTGAAGTTCTTCTTCAACGATGTTTGTCGGAATTAAGTTGGTCGGCTTGGCCGATAAACCATCGCACAGTAGGGTAAAATGAAAAGTCGTATTATGAAATTACCCAGAGCACTAAAATTTTATCCGATTTTAATATTTTATGTTTACACTAAACTTATTCAATTTCGAATAAAGTTATCAGAATTAATTTTTAATTTTGACTTTTCTTTAAAAATTAATACATACCAGCTAGAAAATGGAAAGAATTTTGTGCTAAATTGAGTATACATATTGATATTGGAAATTATAAAAATATCAAAATTATGAAATTAATTATAATGAATGCGATATGGCTGCCATAAATAATAAAGATATTATAAATATAAATAAATCTATCATTATATGAATGGCACAAACTTCACATGTAAATATATTTTACTCGTTAATATATTATTAATAAATTCAAAATAAAGTAAATCGAGTATAATGGATGGCAAATTGGAAATTTATTTAATTTTTCTTAAAAATAATATTGAAAAATTTTTAAAGTTGTTGACGAATCTAAAATCAGAATTGCAAAATTTGAAATAATTCAAACTTGGCTAATGCTTAAATTAAAAATATTTTTTATTTTTGTGAAAAGATCACATATTAGTATCTTTAAGTTATAAAGTGTCTTTAAGTTATAAAGTATCTTTAAGTTATAATCTGAAATTAAAAAATTTGAAAAAAATAACAATTAAGAAATTAAGAAAGTTATTAGGTGTACAAAAAGTTCTGAGCTTTAGATTTCATACAACCGAAATAACAATTTAAATTTTATATATCTTCCCGCCCTTTTGCGGTTTTAAAGCGTTAACATTTGGCCTTCTAAAATGCCATACGGTTTGGTATTTGATGCACATAATCTCAAAAATCAGTAGTGTTCACGATGGCCAATAACAAAAGAGCATATTCGATTT